GGCTGCTGGCAATTTGCCTGCCCTTGCTGTGGACCATCCTGGCCTCGGCTTCCTTGCAGCCTCCAACTACCACAGGTTTGGGGGTGGTGGCAAGGTCTGGGGAGGGAGCTTCCCAAGATACCTGAAGAGTTGGACACCACCCCACCCCATTCCTCAGCAGGCAGATCTCCGAGACAGAATCTAGGGGCCCTGGCTCCTCGTCTGTTCTTCACCCTCTGCTGTTCCAGTGGAGAAGGCGAGGGCAGACCCATCGCACACCTTCCCATTTGGGCCAGAAGGGGCTATGCAGGGAGAGGCGCCCTCGGGTGGGGGCTTAAGTCTAGTCTCCTGGCCTAATTCTGTGGTTTTCCTTCTGCGATGGCTAAAGCCTGTGTAAGCGGATGATCCTCCCCACGCATTGTAAGCCCTGGGCCCTTGCCCTCACCCAGAGGAAGCCAGGGAGGTGGGGGTTGGTGTGGGACTCCATCTTTCTTCTGCCTAAGGACCAGGCTCGCCAAAGGGTGAGGAGTGTGGCCTCCCTGGGGAAGAAGGGACGGGGACACTGAAGCAGTAGGCAGATTTCATCTGTTCCCTCCTCCCCTAAGCCGGGAGGAAGGCCTTGTGGACAGCCAGGGTGGGTGGGATGGGAACAAGGTCATGGCCCTGGGCCGGGCGCCTGATCTTGTGCGGGCTTCTGCAGTCCCTGTGAAGCAGGGCACCTGCGAGGTGACAGCTTCTCATCGCTGCTGCAACCGGAACCGCATCGAGGAGCGATCCCAGACTGTCAAATGCTCTTGCTTTACTGGCCAGGTGGCTGGCACCACACGGGCAAAGCCCTCCTGCGTGGACGGTGAGTGAGAGGCTGGACCGGAGGGGACGGCCTGATCAGAGAGCTAAGAAGATCTGTCTCGGCCTCACCATCTGCTGGGAATACGATTTCTTACCCATCTCAGGGCTTTCGTGTCAAGTCTCAAGTGATGGGGCAACCTCTGGGGAGAGGGGGGCAAAGGTGACCATGCTCATCTCTTATACGAGGAAAACTCCTGTTTCGCGCACGCCCTCCCTCCTGTCTGCACGCTCTGCCTGGCGCTCACACAGACACAGACGCCTGCAGACGTTGCTTGCTTCACTTGCTGCTGCTTCCCAGCCTCTGACACACACCTGCCTCCCACACACGTCCGCCTCCCGTTCTCAAGCCAGCCTTTCCCCTCGCCTCACGTGGACGTGTGCGTCGCTCACCCATGCATTCCTTCACACCCACCCCCTTTCCCACAGCGCCCCCCCATGCTCATTTTCTCACACTCACGTGGCAGCACTATAAACGTGCCCACTGGTGCTCACACACATACCTGCTTGTTCACTCCCGGTCCGTGGACCCCTGCTCACAGACACTAAGGGGGTGTGTTGAGACTGTGCCTCTCTGCTAATGACGCGGTGGCTCAATTTGAGAGTTGCCTTAGAGACGTCCCCTGCCTTCACCCTGAGCCATCTTGGGTGAAATGCAGGAGTCGGTGGCATTGAGGTTGATATGGTTAAGTGCTCAGGCCTCAGCCCGAGTTGGGGAGAGACTCAAAGCCAGGGGTGGTTGGGCATCCTGCAGACCCTCCTTCCTTGACTGTACACTGTACTCACGGTGAGCTGAGCGCTGCCCTCACTGCCTCCTGCTCCCACAGCCTCCATCGTCCTGCAGAAGTGGTGGTGCCAGATGGAGCCCTGCCTGCCGGGGGAGGAGTGCAAGGTGCTCCCCGACCTGTCGGGATGGAGCTGCAGCAGTGGACACAAAGTCAAAACCACCAAGGTATCTAGGGGTGGACACTTCGTCCTCCACTACCGTTCCCCCTTGCCCTGGGGTAGAGAAGCGGGTGCAGGAGCCCTAGGGGGATGTCCATGTTTCAAGGTGAGATCTGTGAACCCTGTGGGCACATCTCCGGATGGTCCCCCAAGGTCTGTGTTCCCTCTGGGGACTGGAGTTCGGGCTTCTGGATCTGAAATCTGATGCGTCCTCCCGGGCACATTTCCTGATGGCTTCGTATGCTTCGGTTTCCTCCTCTGCCTGCAGTGAGCCTGCCTCTGGAAAGTGTCAGGTCCGCAAGAACAAAGTAGAGAACCGAGGAAATCCTCTAGATAATTCAGAGGGGACTCTCTACAGTAGCCACTGAGCCCACCCAGCAGCCCCGTAATTCCTAACTCGCACCGCCTTCCGCTAGTGGAACTGCTGGGCTGTGATGGTTTTCACGGTTTGCTGCCTGCCCCACAGGACAAGGGCTAATTAAAGTGTTACCAAACTCGTTAGCAAGTCCGCGTGTGTCCGGGCTCATCCGTTCTATCGCTGTCATCACCGTTCGTACAGGCGATGGCACTGCGGGGTCAGCCGGACTCCGCCTCTGCCTCCCTCGCCAGCACCGCACGTAGCAAGCAAGCAAACAGATACAAAGCACGGAGACAGAAAGGCAGCCTTCAGCGCTCTGAAGAGAGCAGCGTTTTCAGAGGGCACAGAACGGAAGGCGCTGCAGCACTGAAAAGTGTGGCTGGGTATAAAGAAGAGCTTTCTATCCGCAGGCAGGCAAGGGAGACTTACATTCTGAGTATATTTAAGACTAGAAGAGAGTGAGACCCCTCACAGAGCTGGTGATATTTGTGACTGTTTTATAGGTTTGGGTTCGTAGCCTGTAGATCACTGCGCTTGCAGTTCGGGTAGCGATTCTGAAGCACACGGTGGTGAGGCGTGCCTGATTTATGTTTGCATGGCCACCTAGCCACGCTTTCCTGGGCTAGACTGCTTTAGGGGGAAGGGATGGCAGCAGTGACCTCTACATGACCTGCGTATCCTGGGGGTGTTCATTCCCTTCTCTAACCTTCCCCCATCACTTGCTCTCTAGGTGACACGATAGCTTTTGGGTCACAGCCTGGACGGGACAGCTTGACTGAGCCACGGACTGAAGCATGGTATCCGGTCATCACCCAGCAAGAATGGAGGTTCACTCACCTCGACACACGCCCCGTGCCAAGCGCAGTGTCCCTGCTTCTGGGGGCGTTGCAGTTAAGCTGCTCAGCGGGTATGCGCAGATCTCGCCACATCCCTAGTGCTGTGCTGGGCTCTCCTGGGGGGCAGGGAAGAAGGTCAGGATACAACTCCTGCCCTCAAGGAATGTCCAGTCAAGTTGGAGAGCTGACGAAAGGCAATTTGGATTAAGGTATGTGGTATCAGACCGGCTTCTGGGCCACAGGCTGTGGGCACGTTGGGGGGTTTGGGGATGAGACTCCCGCAGCTCTTCAGCCACCCGCTGCACAAAGACAAGGGTCACCCCCAGCACCAACCACTCGCCTCCCTCACATCAGTCCGAATCCCCAGCAAGCTGCTAACACGTTGAAGGAAAACGCTCTCCCCTTATGCCACACTGGCTGTGTCTCCTTTGGATGGGACTGGCTTGACTTGGGAAGGAATACAGAGATGAAGCCAGACAGCTTCCAGCGAAGTTTCTGCAGAGGCGTGGCCTGATTTGGCTAGTTCATTGGGTTTGAGATGGACAGGACCTTAAAATCATCACCATCCAAGCACCTCAGGTTTTTGTTTGTTTGCTTGTTTGGACAGATGAGTAAACTGAGTCCCAGAGAGGTGAGATGACTTGCCCAAGGCCTCACAGCTGGGGCCTCCAATTCTCTAAGACTAGTGACCTTTCAATTCAGCCTGGATGTGGATTCCAACCTGGGCCTTCCATGTTGTTTTTTATCTCTCAAGAACAGAAACCTGCAAAGAACAGCTGCACAGCAGCAACGTTTTTCTCAGGAGACCCTAGAGCAGGAACTTTTATAAGGTCACTGTTCTCCTATCTGAAATGATCCAGAATACCTGCGCACCAGGATGTGGGGCCACTGGATCTCCGCTTTGTCCTCAGCTCAGAAAATTCCGAACAGGCCCCATGATAGCCCAGAGCTCACGCAGCCCATTTACAGCTGGCGCACTTGGAGCTGGCAGCCCCATTGCTCACTCTGACCCATCTCTTCCACAGTCCTTAGGCTGTCACTCTTGGAGGATCTGGCTCCATGGGAGGTCTGGGCGGGGTCCAGGACTGCTCAGAGTCCTTTCCCTTCAAAGGCCTGGCTGGGCAGGAGGAGACCCCTGCTGGGCTGGGTGATCCAGGGTTGACAGTTGGTACAGGCTTCAGGGACTCAGAGACAGGGGCTACGTGGGTATCTCTTCAGTAAGAGAATTACAGCCTCAGTGACTGCTGGGGTCACCTGGGATCACCAGGATTGCAGAGTACGGGGAGCAGGGGTGTCAGCAGAGACCACCATAGACGATGCTGAATTTACTGTCGATATCAGCCCCTCACTGCTTCTCTCCCTCCCTCCCGTACTGCAGAACCAAGACCATTCCCCCGGACTTCAGGGTTTATCCTCTTATGTTTGTTTTGTTTTTGGTGATGGGGCGAACAGTGATGGCATCTTCTTACTAGACTAAATGTCAGAATTCTGACAACTTCAAATCTCTGCCCATACGGAGTCACGGGGTGGAGTGGTAAAGGAGTAGGTCAAAGGTTGGCATCACCTCCTTCAAGCCTGCGGAGTATATTAGGGATTGGCACATTTCTGGAAAGGGCCAAATAGTAGATATTTTAGGCTTCACAGGCCACATACAGTCTTTTTGGTGTATTTTTCTTGGGTGTTTTTGTTTGTTTGTTTTAAAAAACCTTTTAAAAAATGTAAAATATATTCTTAGCTCAAGGACTACAAAAGCAGGCCCCAGGCTGTTTGGGGAAGGTTGCCAGTGAACCTTTGCAGGCAGGCCATCGTTCATCTCTGCAGCTTAGGACTGCCTCCCAGCCTCCTGGCCTGTCTTAGGTGCAGTGGGAACCTGAGCTTGAAGTCTGTGTTGGGTTTTGTTTTTCTTCTAATGCTCCTTGAGAGATTGGTGAGTGAATTATTTAGGCTACAAATGGACAGCGTTAGCAGAGTCAGACAATGAGAGCCGCTTTCCTGGAGGCCAAGATGTGGGCTTCTCCACTCCCTCCCCGCCCCCTTGAGATGCTGTTGTGGAGGCAGGAAGAGGGCTCTTGCCCCCTGCCCATCTGCCTGGTCCACAAGCTGTGGGGCTATGAGCTGGGGATGAACCTGAGAGAGTGGGATGAGGCTGTACAACACCCACCCCCCACCTCCCCCAAACTGTCAACCACTGCCAGCCCCGGCCTCAGCCAAAGTCCAAGCCCCCGATGCTCCCTGACCTCTCTCATCCCTGCTTACAGAGCCGACCCCTTTCCTTTGGCATGTGTTAGGATCTGCTAATTCTTTTTTTTTAACCCCTCAAAGTCTCCGTTTCTTCCTGACCTAGTCAGATACTTATTTGGTGGGCTTTGAGGGGTGTCGTTTACATGGCCTGGAGACCCGCACACAGAAGGGTCGGGTGGAGAAAGGAAAGCATCCCACCTCCCAATAGTAGTAGCTCCCACTAGGGCCCTATTTCCAACGAAGTCAATATTTGTGTGCATTTTGTATCTACTGCAACCTCGGTTTAGGAATGGAAATTGATTTTCCTAGAGCGCAGGGGTCCTGGAGTCCTCTGTCTTCCTTTTCTCCTAGTCAGATGGGCTCTCAGATTCCCTGAAGTGAGCTGGTGTCCCCACCCCCTCAGCCATGAAGGCCTTAGGAAGGCCCCCAGCTCCAGGAAATCATGTGGCTAATTTCTGTGACCTCCCGGCAGTTTCATTAAGGTCTGTGAGTGACATCCTAATTAATGGCCCCAGACAGTTGCCTGGAGTTGAGGCTGCAGCTTCCTAAAATTACAAGCTTAGAGCTAAAAGGGACTTTAGAGATCAGTTAGCCAACTCCCTCATTTGACAGATGAGGAAAAGGAGACTCCGAGAGGTTAGGTGATTTGTTCAGTCACACAGCTAGCTGGTGGCACATCCTGCCCCGTGATCAAGACAAGTGCTGTTTACACTACTACACAGTGCCTCTTGACTCTAGTACAGATGAGGAGGCTGAAAGGCAGCCAGGCTTTAGCAAGAATGAACATGAAAGAGACTCATTCTAAAATCGCCAACCCGTAAGCGCAAGGGGACAGGGTGAAGAAGAATGGGAAGCATTTAGAGATATACACACAGAAAGAAGGAAGTCAGCACGAAAAGGAGGAATTAAGATCACTCATTCAGAAGAACATCAAAACACCAAAGCATAGCACAAAATAATTAGAACAAAACTGATGCCACATCCAAAGCAGTTGATTTTTGTCCTTTTTTGAGGAGACAGAGTAGAGCCCCTATCAACCGTTGGAAGACCTGCGAAGCCAGTCTTGATGGCTTCTGGGTTTAGACCCTTGTGCAGGGGTCTGCAAACTAAGGCCCATGGGCCAAATCTGGCCTGCTGACTTTGTAAATAAAGTTTCGTTAAAACAGAACTGTGTTCATTTGTTTATTATTGTCTATGACTATTTTCCTGCTCTGGGAGCAGAGCTGAGTCATTGTAAAGAGACCATATGGCCCATGAGGCCTAAAATATTTACTAGTGAACCCTTTATAGAAAACTTTTGCCAACTCCTGCCCTAGCATTTTTATTGAACCTTTTTCAGTCCATCCATATTAATCTGGAAAATGATGACTCTATATTTCTGGATTTGGGATTTTTTTTTGGAGGCTGTGCCTGTGTCCCCTTTAACCCATTCTAGTGCTACCTGTGAGTTCTAACAACCAAAGAAATGAAGACATAAAGAAGACAGAGGCCAACAGAAGGTCTTGAAGCAGATGAATGCTTCCCTAATATGTTGCCACACCCCAGATCAGCACAGGTCATATTCTCCAAGTTCATGTAACTTCTACTTTTAAATTGAAAGTAACTACCGGTGCACCCATGTGTAAAGATGTAATTGTGTATGCATGCATGCTGCTGGTGTTTCTGTGCATCTGTGGATTCGAGTATTTCCACACTCATAAGCAAGGCTGATATTTAAAATATATAATGAGTTCAGTTCAGAGGCTGACTAATCAAGACAGATGGCAGCCTGTCTGTCAGACCGGGTTATGCTGGCCGCACAAGGCCCAGCATGCAACTGCTCGTTCCCACTCCGCCTGCTGTGGCTGAGATGGGCTCCAGAACAAGGGAGGGCCCACTTCTCCCTTACCTCAGGATGAGCAGCTAAGCTGGTTCCTGACTTCCTTGGGTTTGTGATTTGTCATTGTGTATGGGTGTGTACATGGGTACAGAAGCTACTGGACTCAGATGGCTGTAAACATTGTATTTGGAACAGACATGTAGACTGGGCATAAGGAGGACCAGACAACTGCCTTTCAAGCCTTACATGAGGGAACAAACTCCCCTTCAGTCTAACTTAGCCATTTTCAAAGGCTGGATTGACCTATATGCTGGGTGACTGGTAATACACTGTAACTTCTATTAGTGAATGTCTACCATGTGTCAAACACCATGCCAGTCTCTTTATATAGGTAATAGTAACTTAAATGGGACTCTTCCCATCTCAGAATTAGGGCAGAGGCCCCAAAGGTCAGGAAAAGAAAGATAGGTATCAACTATTCTCAACTACTCCCACATTCTAAATCAAAATGTTAAGACTATTTCTACAGATTTATAAAATAAATGTTCCCCGGACTGCATATGAGAAGGCTAAGAGTTTAGGTTGAAAGGCAGGTGGTAATTATGATCTGTCTGGAGTGTTACCAGCCAGGGGGAAAGTTTAGGTGTTGATTCTTTCTCACTATAACCCACTTAAGGTGGGGATTGCAGAAAAGAACTCCAAGAGCTTGATTTGAATTGATTGGAGTGTGGGAAACAGAGAGACTCAGGCCTAAAGAATAATCGAAAGATAAGTGGCTGTGGCTGGCTTGCTGGCCTAGATAGTGACCTTGAAAACTATCTTGGGAGTGAGCTGTACCTCCAGAGCTTAGCAGAGCACAGATACTTGTATGTTTTCCAAGGGCCAGACGAGGAGTGCCCAAGAGGGCTGCC